TTCCCTCCCCCCCCCCCCCCATAAAGTCTTTTAGGGTTGAAATTGCGACCCGGATAATCCTAGATTTTTATCATTGATTTACTGCACTATTGTAATTTTATTGTATAATTGCAGTATATATATATATATATATATATATATATATATATATATATATATATATATATATATATATATATATATATATATATATAAGAAGGCTATTTCGTGCGATATTGTGTTCTTTAAACGTTTAAACGTGTAAGGTTCTCCACTTCATTCTGTAGGGAATGTATGAATGTTTCATTCTTCATTCATTTCTTCATTCTCTTCATTCCACGTCAGGCTCTTTCGTTTATCTTCCGTATTGTGGTAAGGTTTGACGGCGTTTGGGGTAAAGTTCGTCTTTAACTTCTTTTAAGGAATTGGAATGTGTGTGCGGGCCAATGGAAGACTTGCTTTACATCACTTATTGTTGTGTTGTGTCGTCTATAGCGGCTGCTGCTCTGGGGCCAGATTCACGAACGAACCTATACATCTCTAGTCAATCTTTGGCGGCTTTGTTTACAATTATTTAACAGTTACAGCCCGTCCTCCAAACAAAGATCCAAAAGTGATTCCATGCACCCGCCAAACCCCCTGTTTATGAATGGAAAGCGGTTTACACACGACTCACAACTGCTGACGTTCGAACATATCCGGAACAAGTGCTTCACTGACGAATTTTGTTCGAATCACAACGCTATAAATGCTTCACCCACGTACTACAAATACAAATAATCGCCAACAGAACCTAAACACCTAACCTAACCTATGCCTATATATGCACAATATGCTAATATATTATAATATTAATTTATTCTTGCGAAAATTCCCGTTTTGAATGAACAGCATGTTAGAATTTATGAATGCGTCTGTGGGGTCGACCGCTGGATGTAATGGACTTGAGTCGAGGACGGGTTGAACAGTTAATAAGCTTCGAAGCACCAGGAGGCTGTTTATAGCAATAACAACAGTTGATTGGCAAGTTTTCATGCTTGTAAACTGTTTAATAAATGGAACCAAAGCTGTCAAAGTTTGAGGAAAGATGTACAGGTTCGTAAGTACTTGCGTAACTGCTTCGTGAATCTGACTCCAGGGCGACCCTTATAGAGTGCTGGCAATGACGGATATAATATAGATATAAGAAAGAGGAAGAGTATATTAAGTTCTTCACGGCGGAGGCTCTCTAGATTTATCTTTTGTTGACTAACACTGTCCGTATCCAGTTTGCTAGGATAGAACCATCGCCCTAGTTTGGCACTTCGGCTTTTTAGGACTCATCTTAAGTGCTGCTCTTAAGTGTCTTTAAGTGCTCTTAAGCCTCTTAAAAAGTGTTGCTGCGCCATAAGGTCACGTTTGTCGAAGGCTTCCTCGAGGTGTTTGTGTTGCGTGTTGTGTACTTGTTTTCCTGTGAATCTGTAGCATCTACGTGTCTCATTATTCGTGTCAGTGGCGTCTAAAAGTTTCATTATCCATGTCAGAGTAACTTAAAGGTCTCATTATCCATGTCAAAGTAATTAAAAGGTCTCATTATCCATGTCAAAGTAATTGAAAGGTTTAATTATCCTTGTCAAAGTATTTTAAGTCTCATTATCTATGTCAAAGTAATTTAAAGGTCTCATTATCCGTGTCAAAGTAATTTAAAGGTCTCATTATCCATGTCAAAGTAATTTAAAGGTCTCATTATCCATGTCAAAGTAATTTAAAGGTCTCATTATCCATGTCAAAGTAATTTAAAGGTCTCATTATCCGTGTCAAAGTAATTTAAAGGTCTCATTATCCATGTCAAAGTAATTTAAAGGTCTCATTATCTGTATAAACACAATTAACCCGTCTTACCGTTAAGTAACTATGTCAATCCCACAAGCAAGATCATTTAATCCGTTGATACCTGGTTGATGGGGTTCTGGGAGTTCTTCTACTCCCCAAGCCCGGCCCGAGGCCAGGCTCGACTTGTGCTCGACTTCCGTTGTTTAGGAAATGTTCCTTAAACCCAAAATAAACCACAATGAACATAATTTTTTTCGTTCTCTGGTTGTATACAAAAATTCTCTAAACCATCATTTGTACTTTCTAACTTAATAATAAACCGCTTGGTATCCCCGCCCGGTAAACCTGCCGTTCAGTAAACCGTCGTTCACACCTGTTTTACGTTCTGGCATTCAGTAAACGTTCAGTAGAGAAGCCTGAGGACTCTTTATGAAGGTATCTTCCTCCCTCGCAGCGTGGGTGGCTGCTCCCACCTCCCTCACCATTACTATGGGTGGGGAATAATTGTTAGCATCATTATCGTAAAAATTAGCTCAGATACATCCTCTATTCTACATTACTTCCTTTTTTTAACCCCTATTTCCTACTTCCTCCCTTCCCTCCACCCCCCTGTTTCCCCCTTTCCCTACCCCTCCTACTTCCCCTTCCTACCCCCTTATTTCCTATCTCTTTTTTTCTACTACTCATTTACCTAAGATTGACTAAAATTAAATTAAAACAATAAAAACTAAAATAAATTAATATAATAATTATATTATTATTTAATTTGATTATTATTTATTTGTTTAATAAATTCGTTACACAGTTAAAGGTTAAGTTCTGATAACTGTGTCTCCACATTAACTTCCGTGGGCTTGTTAAGTAAAAGGAGACCGGGGTTCGGGTTTTCAGTGTCTCTAAAGCTTTTCACAAAGTCGCTAGAGGATTTTTTGCAGTTTTATTTTTCCCTGACCCAACATGAAAGATCTTCCTCTATACCATCTGCCATGAGCTGGCGACAAGCAGAAAGGTGTGCAAGATCAGTCTCTCCCAAACACACGTGAAGAAATGATAGGAACATCTTTCCGAAGTACACAGACATGCTGGAGCCTTTATTACGGGCTCACCATAGCCCGTGCTACATGGATACTTCGTTCTGAGTAGCTGAATCATGGAGCATTTTGTCCGGGTATCACCTGATAGTTTAAGTGTAGTGGTAGGTCACAGAACACCATATATATATATATATATATATATATATATATATATATATATATATATATATATATATATATATATATATATATATAATGTCGTACCTAGTAGCCAGAACGCACTTTTTGGCCTACTAGGTAAGGCCCGATTTGCCTAATAAGCCAAGTTTTCCTGAATTAATATATTTTCTCTAATTTTTTTCTTATGAAATGATAAAGCTACCCATTTCATTATGTATGAGGTCAATTTTTTTTTTATTGGAGTTAAAATTAACGTAGATATATGACCGAACCTAACCAACCCTACCTAACCTAACCTAACCTATCTTTATAGGTTAGGTTAGGTTTGGTAGCCGAAAAAGTTAGGTTAGGTTAGGTAGTCGAAAAACAATTAATTCATAAAAACTTGGCTTATTAGGCAAATCAGGCTTTGCATAGTAGGCTGAGAAGTGCGTTCTGGCTACTAGGTACGACATATATATATATATATATATATATATATATATATATATATATATATATATATATATATATATATATATATATATATATTTATATATGTCATTATGTCTGTATTTGTCCTCTCTGTCACTCTCTGCCTGTCTGCCCGTCTCTTTTATTATTGTCTCGGGTTTTATCCCGTCTCCCTACTTCTCTTCTATGTCCATCACCTTCCCTACTCCTGTCCATCACCGGGCTCCCCACTACGCTCTCTCATCCATGTTTACCTACTCCTCTCTGCCTTACCTTACATTCTCCCATGCTCCATAACATTTATGCTCCCTAACTCTCCTCCTCCTCTACCCCTACCTAATGCTCCTCTCGCCCCCCTCAACCCCCATGCTCGCCCCCCCCTCGCCCCCATTCTCTCCCCCCCCCACCCCATGCACGCCCCCATTCTCTCCCCCCCCCACCCCATGCACGCCCCCCCCCCCCCCATGCACGCCCCCCCACCCCATGCTCCGCTAGTCAACAAACTGGACAGGTTGTTACCTATCAGTAAATCACCAGCGGACAGGATATACCACCATGTTTCCTCCTCCCCCACCCTTCCTCCCTAGCCCCGCCCTGGTCATACTCACGTTATACCCCCCTTGTTATACTCGCATATATTCCCCATGTTATACTGCCTCGTTGCTCTGCCTGACATCATCTCCTCCTGCTCCTTCCTGTGAGGGACGAGCCTCAGGAAGATGGTGGTGGAGAAAGTCACGAGATTTAGCTATCGTGGGGGGGGGGGGGAGGGGGGAGGGGGGTAAAGAGGGGGGCGGTGGGGCTCGGCGGCTGTAGGTCAGGTCATCCCAGGTCGAGAGAGAGAGGAACAGGAAAAGAGGAATTAAAGAGGAGGGAAGTATTTGTGGTGATTTTGGTGGTGGGGGGGGAGGGGGGAAATGAGAGACAGAGAGAGAGAGAGAGAGAGAGAGAGAGAGAGAGAGAGAGAGAGAGAGAGAGAGAGAGAGAGAGAGAGAGAGAGAGAGAGAGAGAGAGAGAGAGAGAGAGATGCACTGATGGGCAGATAAGGATAAAGAAAATTTAAGAGAGTAGTAGTTTTATAATCTTAGTGTGGCGTGGACCCCACGGGGTGTGGCGTGGACCCCACGGGGTGTAGCGTGGACCCCACCCTGGCTCCTCACACCTCTCCTCATTACTCCGCTGTTATTGTTCTCTTAGTCCCTCTCTTATTACTCTTCCACTTCCCTTTACAACCAAAAAAGCTGGTTTCTTCCTCCTCCTAATTATCCCCCTCATACTTTCCTAGTTTCTCTTTCTCCGTTTTCTATCTCTTCATTCGTTTTTCCCATCTCCTCTTTAGTGGTTTTCTCTCACCTTCCTTACACCACTCGTGCCTCTAAACTCCCCCTTTTTCCCACCTTTTCTTCTTTACATCCGAAGCTGCGGGCGCTGGATCTTCCCCTTCCTTCCCCCTCCCTTCCCCTCCCTTCCCCTGTTGACACCCCTCCTCCACCCCCTCCGTCACCCCCACCACCCCCTCCGTCAGCAGTTCGCTCCACCTGGCAGTTGACGCCACTCTGTATCAGCCCAGCGCCCGGTGAACACCTTGCTGGCGACGCTGCTCGCTCGGGTCGTCCACTCGTGGATACGTGAACACACTCGCCTCTCGGCGGAGGATACATACTCGTGTGTGTGTGTCTGCGTATGTGTCTGATTTGTGGCTGTTTGTGCGGCAGAACTGTGACGAGACTCGTCTTGTGAAGTGATTTGGGAGAAAAAAACAATAAACTATCGAGTTGTTGTAACGTGCGTTGGAGCGGTTCCGGCCGCTGTGTTTAGCGGTTTCGGAACAACGTCGACAGGACAGGTAAGTTGATGCCAGTAACTTTAAGTCTTAAGTTACACGTCTTTAAGTCCTGGACGTCTTGACACCAGGAAGTGTCCAGACGCTACCAGAGTCATGGATGATTTGTTTAAAATCATTTATATTATTAAAGTCTCTTAATTTAACACAAACGTAGTTTATATTATGAGAATATTATGCGCTTTTAAGCGTGAGTGGTACGCTAAGGCTTCTATTGGGTACCATTAGCGCAAGCTTGCGAGAAACGATAGTCTGATTGATCGTCTGGAGAGTTGACTCAACCCAGGCTTCAGCTGCCGGAAATGCCTAATCCAGGAGAGAGAGAGAGGTGATGTTGACAGCTGTGTTGACGTCTGGTGAGTGTGCAGCTGCCGTCACCACGCAGTCAGCGGGCGCCGAGTACTGGTCACTCCTTGTCCTGGTGGCTGGCAGGAGAGGACGACACACTGTAAGGTCTCTGTGAATGGCTGACATGTCCTTGGGGGGGCTAGTTGCCCCTGGAGGGGGGGGGCCTTGTTTGCCTGTGAAAGGGGCCACTTGTTTGCCTGTGGATGAGGGGGGCCACTTGTTTGCCTGTGGATGAGGGGGGCCACTTGTTTGCCTGTGGATGAGGGGGGCCACTTGTTTGCCTGTGGATGAGGGGGGCCACTTGTTTGCCTGTGGATGAGGGGGGCCACTTGTTTGCCTGTGGATGAGGGGGGCCACTTGTTTGCCTGTGGATGAGGGGGGCCACTTGTTTGCCTGTGGATGAGGGGGGCCACTTGTTTGCCTGTGGATGAGGGGGGCCACTTGTTTGCCTGTGGATGAGGGGGGCCACTTGTTTGCCTGTGGATGAGGGGGGCCACTTGTTTGCCTGTGGATGAGGGGGGCCACTTGTTTGCCTGTGGATGAGGGGGGCCACTTGTTTGCCTGTGGATGAGGGGGGCCACTTGTTTGCCTGTGGATGAGGGGGGCCACTTGTTTGCCTGTGGATGAGGGGGGCCACTTGTTTGCCTGTGGATGAGGGGGGCCACTTGTTTGCCTGTGGATGAGGGGGGCCACTTGTTTGCCTGTGGATGAGGGGGGCCACTTGTTTGCCTGTGGATGAGGGGGGCCACTTGTTTGCCTGTGGATGAGGGGGGCCACTTGTTTGCCTGTGGATGAGGGGGGCCACTTGTTTGCCTGTGGATGAGGGGGGCCACTTGTTTGCCTGTGGATGAGGGGGGCCACTTGTTTGCCTGTGGATGAGGGGGGCCCTTGTTTGCCTGTGGATGAGGGGGGCCCTTGTTTGCCTGTGGATGAGGGGGGCCCTTGTTTGCCTGTGGATGAGGGGGGCCCTTGTTTGCCTGTGGATGAGGGGGGCCCTTGTTTGCCGATGGGGGGAGGGGCTCTTGTTTGCCGATGGGGGGAGGGGCTCTTGTTTGCCGATGGGGGGAGGGGCTCTTGTTTGCCGATGGGGGGGAGGCGTGTAAGCTCCTGTTTACTAGTGACTAGGCGGGGCTCGATGCTGATTAGCAAATCCAAGACCACAACTGTGTGTGAGCCTCCAGGACACGCCCAGCTGGGGGCTGTAACCTCCTCGGGCGCTGAACGACGAAATGTTGCCACAAAAATCGGATTCCTTGCCTCCATGGCTTAGTCTGGTCATGAGGATTTATTGCCACGCAGCTGGGTCCAGCCCTGGCACTTTACCTCGTCCTGAAAACCCCTCCTCTCATCCCCCACTTCCCCGCTCACTCAATAGGGTATCATGACCTATATTTAATTCATTCATTCATCCTAGTTGTCGTTGGGAGGGGGGGGGCAGGTATTCGTAGATTCAGAGACCGTGATGACTGATAAGCGTAAGTCGTCCCTCGGTGGTGAATATGGAATTTAGTGTTATTTTAGTGTTATTACGTATCGATGTAAATAAGTGGGTCCTAATTGTTATTGCAGCTCTCGCCCCCCTTCTGGTCCCCCAAAATGTTATACTGTTGCTTTGTTCAGTGATCAAGACACGATGGACGTCTTGAACTAGGCACACGTTGTGTACGTGTTACAATGTACACTGACCATGTTCACGTCGAGATAATTGTTAAGTTTGATGGTACGACGTAGTCGCCATTGAGAAAATCAGTTGAAGCCATGCGGGAAGGGGGGTGATGGGATTCGAACCTGGGAGATGGGTGGTATCCTCCCCCGCGCACACCTTCAACCATTGAACCACTGTTAAAAAGTACTGGAGACTGGTATTCAACTGATTCCTCGCACACCCTGGTGTGTGTACACGGGCACTGCCATAGTCGCCATAGTGCGCCTCTACCTCTCATTTCTCTGCTCTCTCCTTCACACACGGAAAAATTTAACGGTGCATGTCCCCCTTGCCTAGAGCGGGCATCATGCACCATAGGTCAAGAACCACTTCTATACAGGATATACGGGTGCCCCTGGGCAAGGGCAAGGCCCCGGGTGCCCCTGGGCAAGCGAAACTTAGCAGCCAAGGTTTTGGTCTTCAAGAACCTCGTAGCGCTTCGTAATTTAAACCGTTCCGTTAATGTAAACAAAGTCGCCATTATTCATGGAAGATGTACAGGTTTCGTAAATGAACACGTAAATGGTTGATGAAGCCTGGCTTAGCTCGTCTGTGTGACGAGACGTCGTAATAGTTTATGATCGTTAGGCCGTTTTGTGACGTCATTCGTGCCCTTTACATTGTGTTATTACAGAGGAAAACTGTGGGTTTGGTAACGTAGGATCGGTAAAGACAGGTCTAAACGGTGTCTTGTGGCGCAAGTTAAATGGTTCTGAAATCGAGCAAACCATTAAAAGTTTTACTTAATTTTGTTTAATGTATGTAACCTCACCTCACTTTAAGCAGGTCGGCGTTCAATCCCGGACCATCCCATCCCAAATGCTTATCCTCATCCCATCAAATTGCTATATGATCGTAATGGCATGGCGCTTGCTCCTGATAATTGCCTTCCCTCCCACCACTTACGCACCCAGTCCATCTTGCGACCATAACAACCTTTATTTATTAAACAGTTTACGAGCTTCAACTTTATAACAATAATACCCTTGGGGTTTAAACACCCTCGGAGCTCGTAGTATGTAAACAAAGCCGCCACGATTATCAAGAGATGTACAGGCTCCGTAATTGGATGCGTAAATCCTGTTGAGTCGTGGCCCTAGGACGTCACTCGTGCCTCAGTGCCGATACGCTTTATGGAGCGCACAATTTGGTGGCTTTTGAATACCCAAAGGAACCGGAAATGCTGTAATTGTGTAAGTTTTTCAGAGACCTGGCCACTGTGTACGAGGTGAACCTGGCGTGTCGCCCCTGGCTCCCACCACGACATTCACGACGACAATCTTTCCAGACGAATCTTAAAGGCTGGTCGTTGTATGGCAGTGTGCCATCGTAACTAGTGAAGTGCCTGGTGAGCCACTCCTGTGGCGGACCTGTGGCGAGTGTGTAAGAAAGATCGGTGTTCGGCGCCGATGGGGTGATGGTACATATTGGAAGCAACCAGATGGTGAAACTAATTTTCGTACATTATTATTAAATAAAAAAAATCAGGAAAAGTACATACATAGTTGATTTACAAACATAATGTTGGATTTATAGAGCGAGCTAGTACATAAAATACCTAAAGCCACTAATACGCATAGCGTTTCGGGCAAAAAATGGGATGGGAAAAAAATATAGTATAAAGCCTAGCCACCCGAAGGCCATAAGAGAATTAGAATTATCAGCATTAGGCTTTTTTCTTCCCCTCTCCCCTAGCATATGAATTAGTTACTTGAGACTTGTACAATTATATTTTACCTAGAATATTACAACAATGTTCAAAAACAAAGTTTGAATGGGATGTTGCAGAAGAGTTTTGAAGGTCAGGGTGTGTTGAGGGGCTCAGAGTCGGTGGGCAGAGCCCCCCCCCCCCACTAGCCTCTGATCCGCCGCCGCCTCTCCTGCCATTGTGTACAGCCTAGGCTCAAGGTCCCCTTGGTGTGGCCGCTGCCCCCCTGCACCACCACCTCCCCTCCCCCCTCCCTCGCTGCAAGTGGCATCCTGCATCATGCCAATAATATCTCGACTATTGCTAATTCGCTCGTGGATACGCTCCCTAGCAACTAAGGAATTTCTGTTGCTGAGGTGTGTCAATTAACATTGGGTAAAAAGACTTAACTATTGCATGGTTTTACTGGAAAAAGTAAGGGGGCTCGGGCGCCCTAAATAGAATAGTCCCCCAATAACCCATGTCAGAGCTGGCTTAGCCAAAATAAAACCCTCCCTTCTGTACAGTCTTAAATTTGGATTTAATGGTGGATGGTTTGACCTAGCAACGGTAGGCCTACAGTGTTTATATATACTAAAGTTCTATGGTCACTTGGGCAACCATTGCCAAGCGTCAGTTTCTGAAGTTTGACTTGACTATTGTTCAGTGGTCCGAGGTAGCGTTAATATATTGCTGTACTTTAAATGTCACTACAGCACTTGAATTATAACGCAGTAGATAGTGTCAAAAGTGCGATGTATTTATTTGCGAAGACAGGTGGGTGACACCGCAGTGATAAAGTGGATTTTAAAAAAGTTAGACGAAAGAATTGAAATGCAAATTAATGATAAGTTAAGGCCTATTTAAAGTAATAAATGTTTAAAAGATTCCGATAAGACCTGTCTCGCTATTTTAACGAGGTACAAATGATTGATTGAAAAAGTATTTAATGTGAATTTGCAATCAATTACGTGTTTGCATCATGTTTATTGTATAATATAACCATAACCAGTGAGAGTGCAGACGAAGTCACAATAACGAGGCTGAAGATATTATGACCAGACCACACACACCAGAAGATGATGAGACAACGACGACGTTTCGACTTAGTAATGGTTCAGGACGGACCGAAACGTCGCCGTCTCTTCCTCTTCTGGCGTGTAGGATTGGTCGTCATAACCAGTCTAAGGTTGTGATGTAGACAAGTAGTAGATGTCTTAGAGAGTAGACAAGCGAGGACGACACGGTGTCAATGTTAGTGTG